GGGGGGGGGGAGAGAGAGAGAAGGAATATTACAGACCCAAATCTTCAATGACTTATAGATGCAAAAAATCCTCAACAAAATATCTGCAAGCTCAGTGCAGCTGTATGTTAAAAGAATTACACACCACGACCAAGTAAGATTCTCCCAGGAGTGCCAGGGGTTCAACGTAGGAAAATCAGTCAATGTAATCTCTCATATTAATGAAGGAAAAAAAGACACCCCAAAAACATGGTCATCTCAATTGATGCAGTAATTTCACAAAATCGAACACTCTTTCATGATTAAAAAAAAAAAATATCAACAAAGTAGGAATGGAAGAGAACTTCCTTAATCTGATTAAGGGCATTTATGGGGGGGGGGGGACAAAACCCCCAAAAAACAGCTAACATATTCAGTGGTGAAAAAAGGAAAGATCTCTCACTAAGATCAGGAACCGGGCAAGAAAGTCTGCTTTTGCTTTTACTCAAAATACTACAAGCGACATTGTCCTGAAAGTTCTAACCACGGCAGCTAGGCAAGAAACATGAAATAAGAGGCCTCCCCATTGGAAAGGAACAAGTAAAACTATCCAACGGATAACACGATTTTATATATAGAAAATCCTAAGGTATACACATGGACACAACTCTAGTAGGGCTAAGAAACAAATTCAGTGAAGCTGCAGGATAAAGGATCCATGCGCAGAAATCAGTTTTATTTCTATACACTAGCGACAAACAATCAAAGGAGGAAGTTAAGAGAACAATTCAATTCTTTTTTTATTTATTGTTTTGAGAGAGACAACATCAATTTGTTGTCCCTCTTATTTATGCATTCATTGGTTGATTTTTGTATGTGCCTTTGGGGTATGGGGACAATGCTCTAACCAACTGAGCTACACATCCAGGGCCTAAATTTGATTTTCAATTGCATCAAAAGGAATAAAATCCTTAGGAATTAATTTAACCAAGTAGTTATGATATGTGTACACTGAAAGCTACAGAACATTGCTGGAATTAAAGAAGATCTAACTGGATGGAATGACATTCTGTGTTCACAGTTTGGAAGACTCGATATTTCCAAGATGGCAATAGTGTCCAAAGTGATCTACACATCCAATGCAATCCCCATGAAAAGCTCAATGTCCATTTTGTGTATGTGTAGGAATGGAAAATGCTGATTCTAAAATTTATATAAAATTGCAAGGGGCCCCAGGTACAAGTTTGAAACAGATCAAAATAATTTTGGAAGAAAAAAAAAAGCTAAAATATTCACACTTTCCTATTTCAAAAGCTACTACAAAGCTACAGAAATAAAAACTGTGGACTTGTCATAAAGACAAACATATATTCTGGACATTTCAAACATTTCTTATAAGTGGAATCATGTCCCAATTAGGTAAATCAATAGGGTCAACAGGAGATTAGTGGTTGCCAGAGCCTGGGGATAGTGAGTATTTAATGAGTGCTTAATTAGTATGGGGTCTCCTTTGGAGGTGATAAATGTGTTGTGGAACTAGATAAATGGTGATGGTTGTACAACACTGTGAGTGTTCTAAATGCCACTGAATTGTACACTTTAAAATAATTATTTTTTGCCCAGCCAGCTTGGCTCAGCAGTTGAGCATAAACCTATGATCCAGGAGATTGCAGTTCCACTCGGGGCACGTGCCCAGAATGCAGGCTCAATTCCCAGTCAGGAGTCTGCAGGAGGCAGCTAGTCAATGATTCTCTCCTCATTGCTGTTTCTCTCTCTCTCCCTCTTCTTTCTTCTCTGTCAATAAAGACATATTTTAAAATAATAATAATTAATTTTGTGTTATGTGCATTGCACCTCCATAAGCAATAAATAACTGGAGGCATGCCCTGGACCTGAGAGGAAGCAGCGTTCCCTCTCTGCCCAGTTGCCCAGTTGCCGTTGGAATCCGTCCCTGAAGCATCCCAGCTCTGACAGAAAAGCCCTGAACTGCTTTTGATTTGGGTGGCCAGCAGCAACTTCACGGCCAGCTGGAGTTGCTGCTGACTGGCCCAGAGCACTGCACCAGGTGTGGGGTGCCAACTCATGAAGGCCCCAGCGGGCTGCAGTGCCAGACTCCATGAGCCACCTGCTGGCTGTGGCATCTTGGGCAAAATACCCCAACTTTGTGGGGGAGGGAGGGGCTCCAATACTGGAGCCCGATAAGTAACGGAAGGTCAAGTGGGCTCTGAGAGTCTGTCAATCTGAGATCTTCCATCAAATTGATGAAAGGTTTCCACATCACTTTTCACCCCATTTCATTGATCTTAAGACTTGACTTTTGACATTATATTATCTGAGATCCAGGTGTGTCTTATAATCCACGGCGTGCACTCCTCCGCTGCACTTTTCTTTTTTAAGAAATACATGGAACAGCAGTGAGTCTCAGAAACAATGCTGTCTTTGATTCAATGAAAGTGCATTAAAATTTCTAGTCATGTGTTGTATTTAATATTTGATGTCTGTCTCCCCACCACCACCATTATACCCCTGGCACAGAGCCCATAATAGGTGCTCAATAATTACTAACTGAATAAATGAGCGAATGAAAGGATACTATTATTTTTTAAATTGAGCCCTGGCTCTGACATTTGCTGGCAGTTTGACACAAGAAAGGCCACGTACCCCATTTAAGCTTCATTTTGCTAGTTCACAAAATGGCACATGCACAGATACGCTCTCAGGGCCTGCGTCCTGGCTCCTGGGAACTCCAACCCAAAGAAAAGGCAGGAACAGTGTTGGGTTTGTAAAAACCTTTTATAGCAATGCATAAATTCAGATAGGAATGGGACTTGAGGGGAAGGGGAAAGCATCTGCTTGGGAAGAAGCGGTTTATAATGCTTAAAAGAACCACTTGATAAATTGCAGCTTGCAAAGCAGGGAAGGACTGGGAGGGGCGGGGGTAGAGCTCAAGAGGTCCAGTGGTGTTTCTGCCTTTCAGTGGTTCTGTCGGGCGGTAGTGTCTGCAGACGGCAGGAAGAAAAGAAAGACATTAGAAATCGGGTATCGAAGATGTGCTCACCCATTCCTCCCCCTTCGATTTGCGTTTGTTTGTTTTCCCCAGTCCCACACCAGGTGTTCAGAGACTTCCATAAGGATTGGCTTCTCCTGCATGCACGCCTCCTCTCAGGATCAACCAGCCCTGGGCACAGGCGCTGCCCCTGGGGTCGGGCCCTGCCCGGGCCGCCACGCTCCCGG